CATCTATGTGCATTTATCAATTCAACTGCACCTGCGGTGACATTTATGTTGGGCGTACTACTAGACAGCTTAGCCAACGTGTTAGTGAACACCTCCTATCGTGGTTTGGCAAAGGACAGACGAAAACAATCCGTAGCTCAATTCTGTCACATTTAATTGATAGTGGTCATGTAGTCGAGAAAACGAAAGCCTTCAAAGTAATTCATCGTATCCTACCGAATCTTTCTAATAGACTTCGTATTCGTCTACTGCACACAGCTGAGGCGATAGGCATTCGAACTATTAAACCTAAACTATGCATTCAAAAGGAGTTCGTACAGCCATTATCCCTCCCTTGGCCCATTAAGACATAACCAACCAAAGACTTCTACACCACCCCTTATTTATAATTTCAACCCCTTATCATCCCTTAATCTTATCTTCATTATAAACGTGTTTCATTTCCTTCCCTTACAATCTAACATTACTTAATCGGTTCATTTGTTTTTACTAGCCTTTATCGACTACTTCCACCTGAACAATTGTTTGTTTAATCATACTGTTTTTCATTATTCGTGTTATCACAGATTGCCTCACTTTTTCATCTTTATTATTGATAAGACCATTATTATTATTATTATTACCATTATTAATATTATCATTACTACTACTATGACTGATTGCACAGTTCATATTCACCATCGTATTATCCTATAGACAAAACACCATGATTGGTTTATATTTGAATTTTATTTGTAAACTTATATATATTAAAGTTAAGCCTGATGAGATCTAATTGAAAACAATATTGTTCGCTTAAATGTGTTGTTTTAAATTTTACTATGGGAATATTTAATACATATCTATTGTATCCAGAAAATTCGATATCCTAAATTTTATTGGAAATCATTAGGTAGAAACAGAATACCATAAGGTAAAATGAATTTAAAATGATATGCACGAATTAATACAGCTTGAATTAATACAATCTGATATCACACAACTGGAATTAAATATATCACAAAGGAGTCATGCACTTCTCGGCCTTCCAGAGGATATGAGACTACAATTTATGGAATATGTCGATGAAATCGCCGAATCTGATCCCTCAAAAAAAACGAACATAACTGATGAAAGGCTTAAAAAGGCGAACTCGCGAAAGTAGAGCTCCTGCTAATCCATAAAGGTACGTCCATAACTTTTCTAGCGTGACTCTTGATAAACTATAACTTGAAGCGTTACCTCTAGGACCTAACTTTTGTGATTTTTGTACGGAGATTAGTCAGATTGACACTGATGTACAGTTCGAGAACCTCTATATACAAACAGGGGACTTGGTTGCCTCCTTTGATGAGGACCTTGAAAGATTCAAATCAACCCTGGTAGACTGTTGCTGTCAGTATAGACAGAAGTATAAGAGTAAGCCCCATAGTATACTCACAAAAGAGCATCGAGAGGTTGTTAAAAAAGTAAGACGAAATGAAAACAGACTGGATAGGGGACTGGGGGGATAGTAATTATGGATAGGCAGGATTACATTAACAAGATGAACTCCACACTAGATGACGGCAGCAAGTTTTAGAAGGCGAAAGTAATGAAAGATCATACGGAAAAAGTAGAGAGAGAAATGACAAACTTATTAAACGATTTGAAAGGTAAAGGGTATATATCACCAAAAACTTTCGAAAACATAAAACCCATAGGGAGTACCACCTCACGCATGTATGGTCTACCGAAAGTGCATAAATCAGGAGTGCCCCTACGTCCCATACTAGACAAGTCTCATTCACCCTATCACGAGATGGCAAGTGGCTGGTACAGCTAATTCAACCCTTGCATGACGGGGTAATGAAGCATAGCGTCAAGGCCACCTTTCAATTTATTGACAAGATTAAAAACTTGGACGCAACTGGCAAATACATGGCATCACTTGATGTTTCATCTCTATTCACTAATGTGTCTCTAGTGGAAACCATCGATTATATCTGAGAACAGATTATAGAAAGGAAATTGTGCACTGATATTCCTATTAGTAATCTGAAACAACTACTTGTTAAATGTACAACAAATGTTCAGTTCTTGTTTAATAATGAAATATACAGACAGGTTGATCGAGTAGCCATGGGATCCCCACTGAGGCCTATTTTCGCGAACATATTTCCAGCAAAACTAGAAAATAGTCCGTTGAAAGATGATGAAATAACAAAAATGGAAATGTATTGTCGTTACATGGTTGACACTTTTGTAGTGTACGATGAAGGGTTAAGTAGTGATTTGATTTGAGCAACTTCAATAATGCTCACCCAGCGGTCCATTTCACCTACGAAGAAGAATACAACAACTCTCTACACTTCCTCGACATCCTACTAACGAGAAGAGAGGATGGTCCTGTCAAAAGAACCATATTTAGAAAGCTAGAGAGCAAAGCTCAGTATACACACCCTTAGCTTCGTACCGATGAAATACAAACGTAATCTGATCAGGTGCTTAGCATTTGGAGGGAGGTCCATTTGTTCCGAAGACTGTATAGAGAAAGAGCTCCAGGTCATCTGAGAATGGATATCCAGAGAAGTTCATTCAAGCCAACATAGGTTACAATAATCGTAAACATGAACTGGTAACGGTGGAGAAAAAGCCTCTGTTTTTACGTCTCCAATTCAAGGGGGATACTCCTGCGGAGATTCTATCACAACGTTTAACCAAGGCGATCAAGAAAACTTTCTACTCTGCACATCTGTGTCTATCCTTCAGTAGCCATCCAATGTTCACCCAGCAACTCAAAAATGTCTTACCTAACCTTAGCTCTTCTTCATGCATATACCATTTCAACTGTTCCTGTGGTTCAAGTTATATAGGGCGCACGATTAAGCAGGTTCGTCTACCGGTTCGGGAAAATTTACCAGTTTGGTTTAGCGGGGGGAAAATTAAGTGCATAAAAAGCTCGATCCTGTCACACTTTTGGTCGATACTAGACATCGAATCTATGTCAACACAGCTTTCAGGGTTATATACCGAATTCCGAAGTCGTTATCACGTACAGTTCGCTTACGTCTCCTACACATAGCTGAAGCTGTTGCAGTAAGATCGACTAAACCGGAACTTTGTATCCAAAAGGAACACGTCCAGACGCTGTTCCTACCGTGGCCAAACTTGGATTGATGATTCTTCTTTTCACCAAGAGTGCTTCTTCCCCTTAACCCTCTTGATTTTTTCCCTTTGCTTATTATTACAATTATTATCATTATTATTCGTCATAATTTACACCCTTCATGCAAACATTTCCTCTATACTATCAAAATTTCCATTTATACTATCCGGACTTATTATTAGTGATATTATCTCTTTTTCTCAATATATGTCTCCACCTGTTTCATTTCACATATTCGTTATTTCGTTATGAACTTTCTCATTGCAGTCTTACTATCTCCTGTTTAATACATACCACTTTGTACTAGCCACTCACCTGATACCTTTTATAACCTTGAACTGACTTGTCAATTTCCTACCCCACACTCTACAAATCTATTATGACTAGTCACCACCATTGTCTCCCATTTTACAATATTATCTAATCGATTTCAGCCTAGCACGTTTGTCACACAAATACGATTATTTATTTTGACACCCAATGTCTAATCTGTCATTCCACGTTAAAAAATGTATACGCCACATGATTGGCCATTATTGTAACGACAGTAAATATTATATCTTATAATTGTAAGAACCTGAAGAGAAATCGTTGAAAAGAATATTCTTCGTTCAGATTGAGTTTTAGTGCATGATATGGGAATGTATCACACTATTAAATTTATTATTATTATTACCATTGTATGCATAAATCGACTTTTTGTTTTAAAAATACACTAAGTATTAAAGGGTTTAGACAAGGAGACTGGTATAAATCTTATGGGAAAATGTGAACAAGTAAGCCGGTTTGAGAAATCTTTTTTTTGAAGCGGGATAAATGGAGTGTGGGAGAACTGTTCGTACAGAGGCTTTCAATGAAGATCTGTATACTGAGAAAGGTGTGACAAAGCCAGTGTTTGTCGTTAAATAACTGCTAAGTGAATTCGTCACACACTGAAATCAAAGAAGGTCAGCAAGTAAACTTCGAAATACTTACATTTATAGTCTACTTGTCTAGGCAAAAAGAAAAACATGTCAGTTCTTGTAAATACTTTGTAAAATATGCATATAGAGACTCTCCTGCTTTAATCATACTCATTAATTTAAAGACTTATTGAGTGATGTTAATAATTAAAAGGTAAGGGATAGATATTCGTACAAAAGACTACGTAGGTACTTCAGACACCAGTACTGTAGACACATGTAGTAAACGATAGGTTGAAATCAAGTTAAGATCAATACCTACTTCCTACCAAATCCTTATCTAGACTGAAAGCATAGTATGAAAGGTTATTATTACCATTTATTTTTTATTCTATTTGCGTTCCGGATGGAACATAAGGCTTCAAGCTGCAACTTTGAAGTTTCAATAGCAGTGGTGTTTAATTTTTTTACGAGGTGAAGTTTATAGCCTCACACCCACCCAACCTTCCCCCTCTGAATGACTTACTACCAGCTTAGCGAGGTATAGGGATGAGTTGGCCAGGGACGGGACCGTGGACCATGTGAATGGTTGATGAGTATTCTACCACTGAGCCACCGACGCATTGTATGAAAGATTTGAACCTTCCATTAGTGAATGTAACTGAATGGCATGAAAATCGAAGTGGTTACAACATACTTTAAGTTTGTATGTGGATCACTTGAATTACAAAACAATATTAATTTTAATGAGACAATATTGAAGTACATTTTCAAGATGTTGAGTTTCTAAAATGAGTCATATTTAATATAAACTGTGATATAAGGAAATGAACTCAAAGAAAATCACTGAGACTTTTTGAATGTGTGCATTCTTATCTGCTGTGTAGTAATAATAAAGCATTTTCTAGAGCATACCTACTTCCCTAAGAGATCGATTTGACTGTCTAGTGAGAGATTAAGCTAAGACCTACCCGAGGTATCATCCACAGGAGATTTTTCGAGTCCAAAACAAGGGCGTTTTGAAGTTTCGTGAAGTCCATTTTGATGACTTATGGCATCATTAGTCAAATTTTTCAAACGTTCTTGAATATTTGTCGGCACTAATATTTGCTTCCCATAAGTTGACTGTGCTCTCTTTAATCCTGCTAACTTGACTGGTGATGATTCCAATGGGCTTTTATTTTCTTTTTCGGAAAGAGACATGTTTGAACTTAAAGAAAAGACATCCGCCACAGGTTCAATGCACCCATTTTGAGCACGACGAAGCCACACTGGATTTAAATTAAAAAAAAAAGAAACAGCACAATATCGATGATCTATTTTGAATTAGAAAGCCGAATATTAACGAAGAATAATTTTTTAATATATATTTTATGGTAAAATTACCCATCTTCTATCTACACTTGTAATGAGTTCATATTAGTAGTCTCTGTATTAATTATTCATTATATACATACCGTAGTACAGGTAATTTGACCTTTCCAAGTTGTTTACATGTATTACATATAATCATCGTTAATTTCCTACTTACAGTTTACATCCAACTAATCATAATATTTGAAAATAATGATGTCTAGCTTCTAGATGTATTTCTTAGACTCTCAAGATGGGGAGATGTTTAAATACATTGATCACTTCACTGATTCTCGGAGTTTCATAAACTCTAACGAACTGGTCCCTAACGAAATCTCAACATGAAAAAAGAGAAGACAAGCGCGCCACCTAACATCTTTGCACCGGTTTGATATGCAGCTCCTTATCAAACAGTGTATATAATATACACAGTAGTTCGCTTTGCTCTCGTCCGAAGAAGTACAGCATGGATGTCGAAAGTAGATGAGATAAAATGACTACAGGTTTTTAATCATAGTTTTACTCGTATAACTACTTTATTTTTATTTTATTTTTGATTACAGCTTGATTCCACACTGTATTTTTGGTACAAGTATGGAATTTTCAGCATGGATATCGGTAGCCCAAATTTTGCAGGCCGACCATAGATATCAGGTGTTCGTCGGCAGGGGATTGAACCTCAGACCAAGTGCATGGTCAGCGAGAGTCCTAACCACTGTGCCACCGACGCACAGGTGAAGCAACATACTGAGAAATAATAACGTCCCATGAAGGAAGCAAGTCCACCAAAGAGGTTGTGAAACGTCACCTATCGAGGTGACTAAAAATACCGAATCAGCTGAAGTAGGATTAGATCAGGAATGAGTTAGAAGTGGTCAGATCAAAACAGTAGCGCATACGTAAGAAGTTATTAACTATTGATGCAAGCCACTTAAGGTTGTGGAAATTGTCTAACTGGAGAATTCGGAATCAACGGTTGAAGACTTCTTATGATAGGATTTAAAATCTCTCACAATAGCGTAAATGTACTTACTCCTTGTCATATTTCAGACTCTGAAAAGGTTTACTATCATTCGTCTTTTTTCACATTCATAATTGGTGTTGGTCTCACTACACTTCTTTTTCCTACTTTCTCGTGTGCTTTTTTTGAGGTGTAAAAACTTAGACTGATTTAGTTTCATATCAAGGTTTTACGGTGGTTTGTTAGATACACTGATTAATCTTCACCTTTGGTAACATCCTTGGCTTATTTTTTTATTCATTTAAAGTTACAAGTTTATCATGAGATGTTATACACTTAGCAGACAGAATATTACCATTTTCAACACACACATATTACAGAAGCATGCTTACCATCGAAATGAGTAGATCTATAAGGAATTTCAGGATATAAAAATGGGTGAAATTTATACCGCAACCTGATTTTTGTTCACAGGTATTTTTAGATGGAAAATTCCCAACATACGATTGTGAGCTATCTGACTATAAAATTTTAACAGATTTAATTTCTGTGAAAAGTTGGTACGCTGTGGAATAAATCAAATTAATTACAATTATATTTTAATAGTTTACACTAGTAATTTTTTTATATTTTCGTCCCACCAACTGTTGGAATTGTTTTTAAATTCACAGAATTTATATATATATGCATATATATATACCCCGTTTTTGCGTATCGTTAATCATATTCCAGGTTATTGATAATTGTGCTGGGTCACCCTTGTTATATGTATTCGGCGTGACACTTTAATGATTGAAGATTACGTTATTAGCCTTTCTTCCCATTTGTTCATATTGGATTCGAGAATACAAATATTGTCCCAATTAGTAGTATAGTTTTTATCCCATACATGTGTGCAACTATAGCTGATTTTTTTTCTAAATTACAATACGCTTGTATTCGTATAGGGATGACCTTTAGACATTTACGTCCATTTATTACTATTTTGAGTGATCTAGACATTTGACCCGTATATTTAGTTGGATATTTAGCACAAGATATTTTATAAATTAAATAACTTTTGTCCATTAGTTTTATGGGATCTGTTGGTTGATTTATTTTATTTCTAATTAAATAGATTCATTGGTTTAAACGTGGTACGAATCCCAGTATTTTTTTAGATGTCTTTGAATTGCATTGATGTACTACTGGTCTACGGTATTGTGACCTTATTTTGTAATTCTCTATACAAATATGTGGTTAGAAATTATTTGTGAATTTAAAAAAAACAATCTCAATCAGTTGGTGTGAACACAGTCAGTAATTTTGCGCAAAATATTACCAAAATGAAGAAATTATTGTGTGTAAACTATTGTAATATAATTATAATTAATTCCAATACATTTATTAGAAAAATAAACACCGAATAGCTTGATCATATTGTGGTGGTGTGATACAGACAATGAGTACCAACGGAATATTGTTCTCAAATATTCCTACAGTTCAATACTGCATTAGAAACAGAACAGCACATGTATTTGAACATTCTGCTCCGTCGTTTAATGTGAACCAAAATCACACGCTCAGTGATTGGTTAAAGAATACAAAACTGTCTATATATAAATAGCGGTTAGATCACCCGATATATACCTTAGCTTCCATGTCTCGCCTTCTACTGTTACAATATGACTAGAATGTATAAAGAGTAATATTTCCATTACACAAGGATATTTGTGAATTTAAAAAAAACAATCTCAATCAGTTGGTGTGAACACAGTCAGTAATTTTGCGCAAAATATTACCAAAATGAAGAAATTATTGTGTGTAAACTATTGTAATATAATTATAATTAATTCCAATACATTTATTAGAAAAATAAACACCGAATAGCTTGATCATATTGTGGTGGTGTGATACAGACAATGAGTACCAACGGAATATTGTTCTCAAATATTCCTACAGTTCAATACTGCATTAGAAACAGAACAGCACATGTATTTGAACATTCTGCTCCGTCGTTTAATGTGAACCAAAATCACACGCTCAGTGATTGGTTAAAGAATACAAAACTGTCTATATATAAATAGCGGTTGATAACCCGATATATACCTTAGCTTCCATGTCTCGCCTTCTACTGTTACAATATGACTAGAATGTATAAAGAGTAATATTTCCATTACACAAGGATATGCCACTACATTCGAGTACAATCCTTCCAGTAAATCCTGTTTAAAGTAGGCCGGAACTATGTGTTCAACTCCTGCACTAACCAGGGACATAGTTCTGCTTGTTCACTCATCTTCTCCATGTTTTCTATCATTTCCAGTCATACAGTTTCATTTCATTCTAATTTTATGCATATCTTGATTATGCCTTCTTCCTCCAAAACAAATAATCAATACACACATATATAATGCAACCAACCATATTTCTAATTCTCTATCATTTCAGTTTTCATGCTTTTTGTGATTAATATTCATCTCTTATCACACTTGGAAATTTTTTGTATCTAGTTGAAAACTTATCTCCACTTGATTTTACCATTGTCACTATGTCTAATTAAACAATAACTGTAGATATGCTGACTAATAGAACGAGAAATATATATAAATAAACCGAGACTGTATAGCTAGCTACACAACATTTTCAAGGAATTGTAAATATCCCGCCGATAACTGCTACCTTGTCGTGGTGGTCGGGCTTGAATACCGTAATGACCCAACATGCTAAACTGACTGGGACTCTGTCCCTGCAAGTCCTACTATGTCAGGAAGGTTGTTTGGATAGCGGTTAAACTAAAAGCAGTTACCATGGGGTACATGGGCTCAGTATTCAATCGGATCAAATGGCGTATGAACCCATATGGGTCACCGGAAACCATGGGAATGCAGATTCTGACGCTGCTCCGCTGCCTTGCGGATTAGACTCCAAGTCAAAGGCTCGGGGTGGTCCCTTAATAAAACCAACTGCTTCGGTCTGGGCGCCCGGGCAGTATCTCAGCCCTCACACAATGAATTGAATAAAGCAACAAACAGTCAAGGAAACTTATTGCGTGCTATTACACATGTTGCAATTTCCTTCTTTCTTCCCTTCCCGATGATAGTCAACGAATACTGTTTGAACTTGTTAAGCATGACTGTTTTCCTTTCAGATTAAGTTCTTTATCCGTCCTCTACTTATGTATATTTTTCCTCTTCTTTCTTTGTTTCTTTTAATCTATGTTGTTTTATTATTATTGTGTGGCGCATCCTTCTTGGTGCCACATTGTACCAAGTTTTTATGCGTTTTAAATAAATAAATTGTAAATATTCAGAAAGTCGCTGACGTTGACTACATGTTTTAGTAAAGAGTCCAATAACAAAGGTTTTGGTCAACTTTTTCAAATATGAACTACTGCAGCATACCAATATGTAAGTGTTACTTTACGCTTTTATCCCTACAAAGCTTAGAATAAGCATTATGCCATATTGAAAAAGTAATATTTACAATGGAAGAGAGGATAATAAATAATTCTATTCAAGTGTATCCTTCAAGAACTACTGAAATTCATCTTTAATAAAGAACAAAAGGAGACGAAGTGGAGTAACAGAATATAATTTTCGTAGTGAGAAATAAACAACTGAGGTGAATATTGAAATAATAGAAAAGATTTGTAGCTCAGATGGATGATTTGTGATTAATAATGTTCTCTGAGCTGGTTGGTTTAGTTTCGGAGCTTTCGTCGTCCTTCTGGACAACATCTTCAGCGCTATATTTAGCACAAAGGTGAATATTACTAATTATGTGAATGTTATGATGGGAAACTTTAGAGAATAACAGGAAAAATAAATCAATGGAAAAAAACAACAACAGAATAACATACATTTTTGAATAGGATAATTTTTGTCAAATATGCTTGTTTTTAAACGATCTGGATTGGGCTTTACCCTAGATGTCTGGAGTTTCGTTTGTAAACTTGAGTGTCCGACAAGAGCTCCATTCGATGAGGTGCACTAAGTTAGACAATTTAAAACAAAGAGAAATAAATATGCAATAAAATAACTGGAGAATTTGAAACGCGTACCAATAGAATTAGAAAACCCGATGATTTAAACAAAATTCTGTATAGATGACTAAATAATACAATACTGACGAATACTATTAGGCAGTTACCAGTAATTCGAAGGCATAACGCAAACTAAGTCGGTTGGTTATCTACTTGACAAGTGTAAAGGAGAAAAGGAAATATACAAACGGAACACTCTATGTGTAGCAATAGTGGAATAATCAGTGAAGTATAAGAAGTAGGAGTTCAAGACCTTGGTAGAATGAGATATTGAACAAATGCTTTCTGGACACATGGTTCGAATTTGAATTAATGCATTTTGCTAGAGCTGCCGATATGTACGAGTGTTGTAATTCAACACCTTTTGTATCAAATAAGAAATTACTGTGTAGATAATCTTGAAAGAGTCAAATTAATCAGATACTGGAGAAGCAGCAAGCAAGTGATTTACTTGAATTAACTTCTTGATAACCATGCTGGACAGTGTTTTAAGATTTGTTTACTAATTTCGGACTAGTACTTCTTATAATACTAACGTAGCATTTTATTCAGCACAACAGAAGTGTAGTTCACTTGCTAGTCACTATGACTAATTCTTTCGCTTTCGATGATGTGCACAAATATATGCAAATTATAAGGATCCTTCGTTTCACGTTATACGCTTTTGCTATACTTTTGCTTTAGTCCCAACCGATAGCTGCTACCTTGGAGTGGTGGTCGAGCTTGCACCTCGCGATAACCCAACAAGCTACACTGGCTGGAACCAATGTTCCTGCAGGCCTACTATGCCAGGAAGGTTGTTAGGATAGCGATTAGACTAAAAGCACTTACCGGCATTGTGTAAGAATCTTTCTTACACTATGCTGGGGGGTCTGAGGGCGAAGTCGTACTGCTGGGGAACAGGGGTGTAACAGCAGTGACGTGTTTCCCTCAGATGACCAGCATGCCAGCTATGCTGTCTCTACTCTCGGAGAGAGGGGGTTAGAAAAGGTCGACCCCAAAAATTGTACATCCCGACTTAGCCTACGGTCGTCCGTAACCGGCGGTAAGTTTACTGATACGGAACCAACCCAAGAAGCCAGTATGTGACCGGCCAGCATCAAGCAGTTGTCCCTGGGCTCTGCGGTCACGCAACATTAACCCTCTCTGTTTCAGGTACCCGAAGAATTAATCAACTTCCACGGTGTAGGCAGCCGGGAAGTAATAACCGCCCACACACTTCCAAAGAACTTCTTTGCTTTAGATACTTATTTTCTTTATCTGTGTTAAATACGCTGGCAACAACTCAAGTGAAAGACTTACTGATTCCAGCTAAAATTATGTCATACGTGTATCACAGTATATACGCTTTTTAATGAGCCTTCAATACTGAAATTAAATATAGTACTGTGTTTTCGGTAGTATTTAGTAGAGTGGACAACAATTTTTTTATTATAGCTTGATTCTACACAGTAATTTTGGTACCGGTAAGGAATTTTCAGCATGTGATATCAGCAGCCTAAATTTTGCCGGCCGACCACTGATATCAGGTGTGCGAAGGCATGTGCATGGTCAGTGGGAGTCCTGACCGCTGTGCCACCGACGCACAACAATATATCTGCTACTGCACTTTGCGCTTTGGTAATGCTTAACTTTTCTTGTAAGAGATCACAGAAATTTGATATAAACAATCACAATGCATGCACTAAGACAGCTCTAAGAAACAACGCAGTTAGTTGGAGACAAATGTTGGTCAATTATTTTTTGTTCATCGAATGTACACCTAACAAGTTTAACAGAAATGACACAACACCAATACTAGAGGTATAGAAAACATACAATCGAAAAAGTCAGAAATACTGGAAGCATATAAACAAAATCGAAGAGTTAGGTGAATGCCTTGACATGACTATGAGTAATACTTTGTGCGTCAAAAGTCATTAGTAAATAATACTATACGACTGTGATTTTAACAAATAAAATTTTTCTATGATGGATCACAGAAGTTCATGGACCCAAATGATCTTTGACATTACATCTTCCACGATGAATTTGTGTATCTCTTAATACTGGAATCTAACACTAGGCAGTAAGGTGTATAAAAACATATCAAGGTATCAAAAAAAGGTAATAATTCATCAATAATATCAAGCTCTGATGTTAGGTGATCGGAGGTATATGACGGGTGTTGTGAACTTTTCTTATAATACGTATCTAATCATATTCATATCTCTACCGCTATTAACACTCTTTTTCCCCTTTATACGTTTAAGCCATTCCGGCTCCATTGTAAAATGAATAAAGCCTAAATTCTTGGTTCGTTCGTCTTTTCAAGATTCCAGCATCACTCATCGTTCTAAGACTCAGTCACCTTCGTAACAACGGGAAGCCCTGAACTTAAGTTTCATGCTTACTGGTACTCGTTTACATGGCAAATCTGCTGTTTCGAAGGTAGCGATGCTCCCAGTCAACAATGTGCTGCAGTCAACACGTTGCCATTGAGTTGTTGAGGCTAACGACTGACCATTTGTTATAACTCTACCAGATGCCTTGGTTGGTCACTAAGTGAAAACAAATGTCAAACTATGTTTAATTCTTCTTGATCAGTCCCAACTACATCTCAACCTCATCTATCCGGTATGTGCAGCTGGGTGAAGACTTCCTAGTGCTGATGGCTTAGCAGTCCTTTTAAAGTTAATGCTTTCTAGTGACCCGATATGCTGGCGAATATTTATTAATTCCCACAGTAAGTATTCGAATAGATGACGTCTTTCCACACTTTCATTCCTCTGATAACCAGATAAGTGTATTTAATATTGAGGCAGTCGGATAGTTATCATGTCGAAGTGTATAACTGAGGTGAATAAAATGAACATCGAATCGAAAGTTATGCGAATAAAGGGGCTATTATATCATCGGTTTACTAATTTCAAGTACAGTCAATCATTTCAAATATGTCAATCATTTCTGATTTGATCCCTTCGTTCACGTAACTTTTACTCCCGCGGTTGAACGGATAATAATTTGTTTGTCTACTCAACACTACAATAAACATAAGTAAACAAGTTGTGGTATTCCTCGAGTGAACTGTTTTTAACAAGCTAGGATATAAAACACAAAAACGGAAGGTACTAATGACGTAATATGAAAGTAACAACCTACTTTTGAAACATTCGGGGTATAACTGTCCACAACTGTACCGTCGGAATAATTTATGTTCCCAAGAGCCAAATTGAACGCCTTTTCGTTATTTTTCAATACCCTTGAATGAAAAAATGTAAACAGTTTACCAAACTAAGCTAGTAAATTTTGATAAGAAAGAGGAAGTAATGTTCGAGTGTCAATGTATATTGGTTTTAATTATTGGTGGACTCATATTTAGACCAATCAACCACAGTATCCTTGATTCAAATAAAAAGTAGATTACGCATCTTTGAAAAATAATGGCTGTCTCCCAATTTCTTGTGAATCCAGATAACTGACATTGTGGTGAGAGCAGGCTGCCAGCCAATCTGTAGACATTAATTTACGTCAATGTCTATGTCGCTAATATTGGCCGTGAGAAAATATGAACAAGACTTATTCAACAACCAATCACAGCAGACTTAACGTGGGCAAATACGATTCTCAGATATGTGGCTTAACTTTCTGAAAAACCAATCACAAGCAGTACGGAATAACCTTGAGCAAGAGACAAACAATCAGAAGACTGTGTTTGTCTGCCTGAATAAGCTATAATAATGTACATGAAATATATATAAATACGTGCTGATTTCCTTAATAAACGATCTGTTGCCTGGCCCTTGTCTTCTGTTGTTACAACATAATTAAATATCTAATGAATAAAAGAATAAATGACGTGAAAAACCTGTGTCTTTAAGGGCAATGATGGCATCTTTGATTCATGGAGGTTCACATATCTAAGAGGATTCAAGTGAAGAACTAAATGAAGAAGTTATAACAGTTACTACGTTAGCTATACAGGCATTTGGAATAACACTAGCGACAAATGTTTCCTGTTTGAATATACAATATCCCCACAGAAGTAGATATCTTATCCAGAAAATTGTGGAAATCATTGTTTCCCTGTTAGGGTAGATCAGTTGATCATTGCATACAGTAACAGCAATTATTATTGAATACACAATACCATCTCACTGTTAAACTAAGTTGGAAACTGTATAACAATATGAGTGGATGAACAAATATTGAAGTTAACACAACGAACAAAGGTTAGCATGAGAAGAGGAATATTTTTGGTTTAGGAGGTATGTAATGAATACATGTGCAGAGACTGTGTCCTGTTGTAACAGCAGAAGGCAAGACACGAAAGCCAAGGTATACTTTTCATCAATCAAACCGCTGTTTATATATCCACAGTTTATATTTGTTAAGCAATCACTGAGCGCGTGATTTTGGTTTACATTAAACGGTATGAAATAATGTTCAAAGATAAATAGTATTCTGTTGCTAACGCAGTATTGAACTGTGGGAATGTGTGAGAATAATATTCCGTTGGAACACATTATCTGTATCACACCACCACATTATTATCAAGTTCAGTCTATTCTTCAGTGTTTTCTTACAAACTACAATTACACCTATTTTGTTTGTGACTGAAAAATAGTGGAATCAGAGCTGGTAGACCATTTAGTCTTACGATAACCTCAAGTATATTATTCAAATCGAATTCTGTATACTACTTGTCAGAAATGAAAAACTTTTGTTAACGTACCGACCAGCGTAACCAAAAATAACAACCTCGTTTCCATCTGTTTTCTCCAGTGACTCTATATTGTGCATCTCTTCTTCGATATCCTCAGGAGTAGGTTCACTGAAACGCTTCTGACATCTTGATGCGACATCAAAAACAACTTGAAGTCGAAAAGTACGTTCAGCGCGTACGGCAGCATCAATAAGTACTGAGCTGATCTGAGAATTCTTGTTCTGACCAGCTGTCTTGGCTTTTGTTCTCTTGCCGTAAGTCACTTCATTGTTCGTAGTATTAGTGCTGTCATCCGCTATAGCATTACTACTGAGTTTAACATAAAAACCCAACTTGGATAAAAGTTCTCTGAAATTAGTTATGCGTGTTTGACGTAGTATCTACAAATGAGAGAAATTAGATACATTGAAATCACATTTTCAACAATCTGGTCAATAACAACTTCAAGACTATATTAAGTCTTTTTAAAGCATATCACATATCCAGTTATACGATGCTAACTTAACAAGGCGCACCACTTGAGCTATTTCTCAGTCGAAGTCAAATTCTCTGAAATCATTTCGGTCAGAAATAAAGTAACAACTACAAGAAGGGTCAAATCATACTTGCTAAGTTGGCATGATCTTTGGAATTAAGATGCTTGTTGCAATCTGCAAAATATCTAAAAGTTGTGATCATTAAATTATGATCACCACATCACTAAACCAATCAAATATGCGTCATACTACTCTTTCAAAGAAACATCCAACTCTGATTTAGTATAATAGGAAACAATAATCTCGTAAATAAAATGAAAGCTGAAAAATGTCTCTATTCATAGCATATTGCTTGATTTGATCGAATATGAACGACCAGCAACGTATGTCTTGCTTCGCTAAAACTAAGAGAATCAGTTTTAGGCTGCAACTTTGTGATCATACTGACATTTTTATAACCCCAGCCCCTGTCTGTCTGTTTTTGACATAAAACTTTGCAAATATGTGCGGCAGTTCAAGTCGCCACACTCCATGCAGCACACAAAGCAAGAGAAGAAAGTACAACAAATGCATAATAGACACAGTAAACAGAGGTGTGAGACAAAGGAATAGTAATAACGACGAACAAAACAGTTTCATTGGAAATCATAAGTCACAAGGAGTGGATGCATCTGCGCCGGCCATTGATAACGATTTTGAGCCATGTCACCAATTGTTTCTAACTACTGGTTTTTACCGTCCCGGGAACCCCAACCAGGAAGTCTACACCTTCCTACGTGGCCTAAACTAATTGTGGATTTCATTGACTGAGGAAGCCATGTTTTGGTTTGACCACCACTGGCTTGCTTTTTTCCAGCCTGACCCTACATCCGTTAACATTGCCGTCGAGGAAGGCGATGACAGGCATACGTAACACATGTCCTAACCACTCAGTTGATGTAACTTCACAACTTCGTCGACCGATTTTCCCTCCTTACCTAGCACCGACGCCTACCTCAATGTCTCCTTGTTATACCACTTCCACGGGAGATAGAATGCAGGTACCTATGATCAAAGACAGCTAGCCATTTCATGTCTTCATTCTCAATGGCTGTCTCCCAGCCATAAAGGAGGACGTAGCGGGCTGATGAGCAGTACACCCCCTTTGGTCGACAGTCGATATCACGTCTACGCCAAGACGGCGTAAACTGCATATGCGAAACGAGTCGCCTGTATTCGTGCTGAGATTTCGTCAGAGATCAACCTGTTGGCGTTGGCTGATGGTACTTCCCAAATAAGTGAACGGTCAACGTGCTCTACCACTTCACTTCCTATTTCTACACTAGGAGGCAGGGACAATGGGCATCTTGACCGACACCACTAATTGTCACCATTTCAGATGACAACTCGCCGTAAGCTCTCACCTAGCTGCATGAGTTCGAGTAGAGTGCCTCGATCAGTGCATATATTTTCTCGGCATTCCCTTTACAGCCAAGCACCGCCAGAGAACCTGTTGGTCGACAGAATCGAATGTCGTCTTTAGGTCAAGAATAAATGGTTGTTGACGCGGTAGGATGACTTGTTCTGGAATCTGTCGAAGGGTGAAGATGATCATACACCCTATTGCTGGTCTAAAGCCTGCCTGGTCTCTCGTGTTTGTGTGTAGTTGCCAATGCTCCTAGTAACTTGTAATCCATACCAACTAGCAGTCAATATCGAAGTGGTCTGAATAAAACTGCATGGGTGAAAATATATGTCATTTCATGAGGGTGAATAACATGTACCGGAATTCACTATTGAAATATAACACTAACTCAATAAGCATGCAAAATTTTTTCCGAATTACTGAGGAGTCCGAAAAGCATTTTAGCTGGTAAATTTGCTATTGGCTGATAAGTTCCCTTAAAAAGGTGGCTTTCTCGGGTAATTTCTCTGTGGTAAAAATATATAATGTAATATACTTACTGAGACAGAGGGTAAAATCTTGAACATTAAAATGAATACCTGGTTTATCAGTGTAGGATTCTGCACAAAATCACATCAGTTTAAGTTTCCATAATTTATAAAAGCAAAAAATATATATAGTCCATGGGTAGTGCGCCTTAAAAAATAGCAAATAGGGTCACCGTTGTGTAAAACATCTCAAATAAATCAGCTTATTTTTCAACTCTTCGATGCATTTGAGTATTAACTTGATGAACAACAAGGAAGTTCTTTGTCAACATAATGTAAGTTTGGTTAAACAATCTATTGTGCTGGTGTTTAAACGTGTCAAAGAGATATGCAAGATGTATTTCTCTCAGTTGAATTATCCTGGGTCTCTACTCAGATATGTACGAACTGAAGACCAGTGATGACCATTTGTGGGTCAGTAAAATATGTTAAATTTTGCTTATTAAAAACAAGAAACAACAACGATAAACAAGTGTTAATAATCGATTAAATTAGAAAATCAATCTCACTTTGGCGGCAGTGGTTAGTCCTATCCCAGGAATTCCACTGAAATAGTCACAACCAGCCATGATACCCATATATCTGAACTTCGATTCAGTAAACTGGCTAGGAGGAATCCCACAGCATTCACATATGCCGGCTGCAGCTGCTACGAGGATCCCAGATCCTGACAAATCCAGTTTAAATAAAACCTGAAAACCCGAAAACAACACGAACATTACAATAAAGTGACTTTACAGCCCAATGAATTTTAAAAAATGTACAACATATGATTACTTGATACATAGCTTTTAACTAAGCGAAAACGAAATAGGAAAGTACATTAGCTTTAAAAATGACAATATCGAAAGTTCATATTTAATTGGTCGAGATTTAACTGAAATCAAAATTCATTTCGACGACCCCCACAAGCACTGAGAACCACACTATTAATTTACATCGACGGGCCAAAATGTACGCTTACTACATGAGTAATCATTTCCCAAAAAGTTACCAGAGGTTAAAAGCACTCATATAGGATTAACATTGAATCAAATAACTAATGTATTTTAAAACAAACAAGAATATTATGGTTACTTGATGACGGCTATTCAAAAATTTGAAATATTTTAGTCCTTTGATGGAATTTAACACATAATCAACATGGCCACTGCTAAATCTAATGCTACTCAGTGACTTTGAGTGGTGTACATCACTGATAAGATAAAGTGACTAAAACCTAAGCCTCTATCTATTGTTTGTGGAGTTATAAAAAGTAGACCTTCTACGCGGAATCATCCGGAAACTTGATTTCGAAAACCATAGTCGTATATTATTCAAATGCAAGGCTGAGCAATATAATAGTGGGAAATTTTATGAGGCCGTTACATAAAAGTATTCAAAAACAACTAACCTGCCTGCAGCCAAATAACAATAAATCAGAATCCTCAGTGATGACAAAATCGGCATAACCGGTTCGGTTAAGATAAGCCAACTGAGCGTCCGCTTCATATGGTGCAACAATACAGTCAACACCCATATTCCGGGCAGCCTTCAAAATTGAAATAAGCGAAAAAGTGTAGGCTAGTGTGAGACACTAAATACATTTTTCAACAGTTTAACTATCAGCTTCATTTACAACAGGTATCACTTAAAACATATTACAAGGAATGAAAATTTAGTCAGATGATCATAAAGCTGAAGCATTAAGTTCGGTTTTAAATGTTTTCCCTTCAATGCAATTCACATGTTTCCATAGAAGAAATACACTTCGTAGGTTGAAACCTCAGTTACAGCTGACTGATTAGGGATGTAAATTACTTTGAAAGACTGATGTTCAACAACTAACCATTCAAAATTTACAGGACTAATATAGTTAAGTAAACGTTTTCAGACGTTCTAGACAAATTTATTTCTTCTGCTTTCCAATAAAGCCACATTCGAAAGGTAGTAAAACAAAAATTCACAACTTTTATGCATAAATGACCGGTAATTTCAGCTCTGTAGGTCAATACACGGGCAACTGGTTATCTTGACATCAAGTTTTATTCACACTTAGATGTAATGTCTACTTTATTTGGTGCAGTACAGAACAGATTTTAACCCTAAGAAATAGTTCAGCGAAGATATGAACCTCATGGTTTCATACCGAGAGTAGCATTCTGGAGTGACACTGTACAGCATATGCTGTGAAAAATAACAAGGGGGAAAAGTGTTTATCAAATATGTATGTGTTTGAAACTAGCACCAGAACAATTAACGACACCCCGTGCGGATACATTTTGTAGTAATATGGTGAATACTGAGGAATCAAAGGAATCTTAGTTCGTTGAGCAAATATGAGAAAACCTATCAGTTCGCTCAACAAAGTGCCGTTACTTCAATAATTCATCGTAAAAAAGTCATTAAACTAAGTAGTGAATAATTAGAGTTAATTCAAAACACTCAAGAATATATTGTCGATCCCTAGAGTTCAGTTCATTCTGACTACATATGATAGGACGAAATCTTCTGATACGTAAAATTGGAAATACGTTCAAGACCAGTCAAAATTTAATTACAGATCACAGTACTTCTGTACAATTTTTAAAACCAAAGCTGAGTACTCACTCTTAGAACTTCATACGCCATTTCATGTGTTACGAACACAGACCTTTCGAAGCACTCCTGTGCAGCTGCTTTGTTCCCTTGGATGAGATACTCAGCCGCCTTTTTCCGATTCAATTCTTTAGCCCTAAAAAACACTTAGATATATAAGCAACACTACTCTCGGCGCTTCAAATCTGTCTCCGCTTTGGATGGTAAATCCATCCCATCGAAAACAAGGATAGGCTTGACATTGCATGAATTCATCAGGTTGATATACTTCATTGCATACCGAATATATCTAAGAAAACATCGTAATATAACATATTAGGTACTGATCAGTTGGGATCCCAAGTGCCAGGTCTGAAGCACATGCATATGATGATCTATGAATCCAACAGTAGACATCAACAGCAGCAACATAACCACTGAAGTCAGATAGATTTACAGGTACTGAGGCCTTTTTGAGGAAGGGAAGCAGGCCCTTGATGCCCATGTACAAGATTCAAAAAAGTGCCTAATAACAATAACCCCCAAATGTAGCGTCAAAAAAGAAAGTGAGACACGGTCTACTGACAAATATTCTTTAAATTAAGTCATCCTCAAATATCACTTTTGAATTCCTTAATAGGTTAAGTGACAGAAGATCAGTCACCATGCAAATTTGAAAGACTAATCATTAATAAGGTCGGTAAACCTTTTCATTTAGTTCATAAGTGGTGAATATAAATGTTCAGAATGCCTTATAAGACAACTCTCCATCATAACCTGAACTTATCAATAATCAGATAACTAATCTTAATCTATTCCTTAATCTTATACGTAAAAAATTAATTAAAATGAATATGGCTAAACTCCTGGAGCGAAACTTACACTGAGCTCATGAAAAGGTATCTCCTGTAACCCAACCCTTCACTGTAGATGTGCTGAAATCGAACATCTTACCAATGCCTAATATCTTCATCGCCAGCTTATATAAACCCACTGATTTCTTGAAGATTGTAGATTGCTGGCAAGTTCCTGTACGAAAAATTAACTTCCTATATTGCCGTGGATTTGTCAAAAGTAATAAACGTGGGTATATAAGTTCTTCCTGGGAGTTATGCGTGCTTTCTTCAGTAATACTGTCTAACAGCTGTTGTTTCACAAGACAATTTGGATTTCGGGTTGAAGTTCGGAGGCGTGCATCTCTGTTCTAATTTATCCGCCAATCGACTGCAACATAAGGTATCCTAAACATGGCAAAAGGCTTTAGGCGATCAATCTAGCCATTTAATACTTTCCGACTACCTTAGTCCGACGTCTCGAACAATGCGTGGTGCTCGCTAATCATAAAAATGCGTGTTTTGTACAGCACTGGTTGGCTACTTGGGAAGTCGTATTACACCAGAAAATCAAACCTCTGGAAGAAAAGGCAGAAAAACTGATGACCTTTGTAAACCAGTTTTTTCGAAGAAAGTTGGACTATTCATGAAGAGGTCCTCAACGGAAAGTCATAAAGACTCAGTATTCATATGCGACAGTAGCTCTCGATGCATTTACGAGTATTCAGTGCCTGTCTGACGAAGCACCTTGATCGAACGCTCTCACTGAATGTCTCACCGCGGAGTGTGTAGTGCCGTCAGACAAATGGGCAACCGTCTTCTTTGGACAAGAGGGAATTATGGCATACCCATTCCCGTGTGCGAACGCTTGCAGCGTTAAAGTTCTAAGGCACTTAGCCCCCCTATCAAGCAGTCATGAAAATTTGACCTGAATTTAAGCGTTTCCAACACGTTCACATAGATTATTTTGAATAATTACCATCGTCAATAGGACTCACTCATATCATTACGGCGATAGACAGACTCACTGGTAGGGCCACAGTGTACCATCTAGATGACATGAGGCGGTAAACGTAGCCTTAGTTTCCCCAGACCGATAGGCACCGAAGTATAGCGTTTCGCCCACAGTTACATCAGATGGAAGATCACAATTTTCAACAACCCTATTTCAAGTATTCGTGGCCCTCCTCGAGAGAGCAGGTATCCACAAACGCACATCATCTGGCGACAAATCCTCCTTTGTAAAGTTTCCAAAAGCAACTGAAAAGCTTTTTGATCTCTCAGAATCCAAATGCGACGAGCATTGAACTTCGGTAACACTGGGTGTCCGCCCAACAGCAGGAGAAAATTTGATGCCCAAGAAAAGTCGAACCGATCGGTGCTCTTGTTGTCATCACAAAGCTTTGAATAAGCACACCCCCGTAGATAGATACATCATACCTAACATTTGGGACTCCACCGATTGTCCCTAGGGCTCTCCAGTATTTGCTAGAATATATTTAGTCTGTGTCTTTGGCAGTATCCCAGTGGCTAAGTAATATATGTGTGAAACAGTCATCGCTCCCCGTTCTGATTATGTAATTTGTGCGGCTGCTTTTTTGCTTTCAGAATGCCGCACTAAGTTTTCATAGTCTTATGGATGACTTGTTGAGTGGATCGCCGTTTACTAAGGCATACTAACTGTTAACCCGCGTATAAAAACACATGAGTATCTGATTCTGACATCGTTATTGAAACTAGAAGATAACGGCAAGGCAATCACTCGGAGTGACAGAACAGTAGAGTTTCTAAGACGTGTTACTGAGAGCTGTTACACTGTACCGTTGCCATAATAGGCGCATATTCTCAGGAGTTAGGTCACTCACCTCTAAAATTTCATGAGGCCGATAAGCTTCTCCAAGTGTTTCATATCAAACCAGGCACAGCACTTGCGGTCCATGACTGAAGCAATTACGAGAAAGTTAAGTGACTTTCGGCCGTTAGAAGAGACATCGAGTGCTATTCTACAGCTACAAGATGCACTGAATACACCTAAAACCCCAGAAGATTTCAGTACAATTTGATGTGTAACTGATACTGATTTAGGGGCGGCCGTACATCAACTTACCGATGTCTGTAAACCTGTCACATTCAAATATAAACAGCGCTCTCCTAGGGGAACAAAGCATTCTCTCCTTGACAGAGAGTCACAACCAACCAACCTCGCCATTAACTATTTTTGCTACATGATAGAAAGTACACCAGTCATAATCTATTTGGATCACAAGTCTCTGACTTACTCACGTAACTCGAAATCTAACCAATACTCTACATGCAAAATTCGTCACCTTGACTTTATATCACAGTTTAACAGCGATATAAGGTACGTGTATGGGATGGAGAACTATGTGGCTGATGCACCATCCAAATCGCATGTGAATGGAGTGTGACAAACCATCATGGAAAACAACATTTATTATGCCTAAACACAAATCTGGCTCGAAAACAGAAGTCAACAACTAAAGGCCGATCAATATCACACCTGTAGTATCTAGAATTATGGAGAGACTAGTTAAAGATAACTTACTCAAGCATATGATTAGCCGCAACATTGTATGTCCGAACCAACATGGATTCGTAAAATCCAGATCTTGATGAACATGCCGCCTAGAACTCTTTGATTTTATGGCCAGCAGACGTTACATTAGACAGCTAGGACTTGTCATCTACTTTGAAATTTCCAAGGCATTTGACTGTGTCCACCATCTGCTGCTAATATATAGGTTGAACACCTTAGGAAAACGTGATCCACACATAGGATGGCGTCAGTGTAGTTCAAGATTGAACGATCAATTCATGGTTGTTTACTCAAATCCAACCCCATAATTTTCACGGGTCATCAATACGGCAGTCATCGTCTCATCGTTCGATGTTCAGAAGAAGGTTGAAAATTATCAGAAGTGTTATCGTGGTTTATTGTATTAGCATTCATTCTTAGATCTTGTGTTATAACATTACTGTTGGTTATATTTTGACGTAAGAATAAAGGATTCTTGAGTCGTCAATCAGTGTTCTGATTTTCGCGTTGGTTAATACAAAGCGTTTATGAAAGGCTTCGAGAGAGAGAGCGTGAAGTCCAGCGTAGTAGGAGCTGGACACTGACAGTTTATGAGACTTGGCTGACAGTTTCTGATAGTATTTGGATAGTTTGCTTTCCACTTTCATGGTGCCTGAAAGTCTTCTTTAGACAAGTATTATCTGGAACTTTTCCGGAATTTTCGGTCAAGTTCAATGATGCCTGGGCCAAAGAAGGGACGAAGCATCTTTGAGGCAAGCAGGAAAGTAAGTAATACTGAGTTGCTTGTTAATTGTAATGATATGTATGATGCTCAGCATGATGAGTCTGTCGTTCATGTTTCGCAGTCAAGAAATAATAGCACTAAATTTGAACCGCGGTTTTTCGACGGAAACCCAGCTAACTATTCACAGTTTGTAAAAGGAGTTTGAAATCAGGTTGAGTAGTTCTTTTATAAAACGATGAAATGAAGTTGATATATTTGATGAGGTACTGCACTGGAGTTGCTTCAAAAGCTAAACAGTACTGTAAGTTCATGCCCACTAACGAAGGATATACTGAGGCTATGAGTATACAAGGCCAAGGATTCGGAAGAAATTCCATGATTGAAAGGAACGTATTAGAGGCGGTCAAAGGTGATGGTACTCAATTAGGAGATGAATCCAAGGCACTCACTGAGTTTATGGATAATCTGATATCGTACAAGAATACGTTGATACACATAAATTTCCTGAGTGATCTGAAACAAATTTTGTCCTGGAGGTAAGAGAGAGACACGGATCTACTCGAATGCGAAAGAAGTGGGTGAAGAAAAGATTTCGTATAGAGGATGTCCGTACTGAGCCAAATATCGATGGTATCCTGAAACTGGTAAAAGACAGTGTCAATCAAGCTATGAGAAAGTTTGCCAGTATATTTCATCCCTCTCTTAGAATAGAGAAGTCTCAGAGTAAAACGCAATCATTTATGAAGAAAAAGTCTCAGAGAAGTGGACGTCGAGAAAGATTTATGGTGTCTAGTAATCCATATAAAATTAGTGAGTGCAACAGCTTCGGGGGGACACTCAAAACAGATAGGATACAAGTTGCGAGACAAACAAGATTGTTGTCAGCGACGTCTCGTAAACCGTTAATGCCCAGCTCTTGCTACGCTCGGGCTCACGCTGTTCCTTGAAGTTTCTCAGAAACGCTTAGTAATAACGGACGCAAAAACCAAAACACCGATTGGCCACTCGAGAATTCTTTATTGTAACACCAACATATAAAAAATAATTCCACTAAGGTCTGTGAACAAATATTACAATAATAAATCACAATATTACTTCTGACGGTTTACTACTGACTTCTTTCTGAACAGCGACCGATGAGACGGTGACTGTCGTATTGATGCCTCCGCGAACAACCATGAATTGATCGTTCAATCTTCAACTACACTGACACTCCCCGGCATAAATGGGATCCATCCCTTTTTTCCATCACGACCAATACACGTTGACTTGGATGCCATTGCGAGAATCTGGGTCACACGGACAGAGCTGAAATTGAAAACAAACAGAAAAGCCAGTACACCACAAGCATACTCACAGCACAATCTCACACATCAATGACGACCTGAGCCTTCCAGTTAAAGGCATCCTCTTGCAACACAATCGCCACTTACTACAATGACTCTTGCAGAAT